CCCGCCTGCGTTCCTCCCCGGCCAGCGCGGCCCCGCATCACTCTCGTGGTGGCGGCGGCGGCTCCTTCCTGGCACCCGTCTTCGGTAAGTGAGTTTTTTCCATAGGGACCGACGCTATGCCTCCACATTAGCGATCCCGGAAAATCGATCACTATGCGGATTCGTCGTTATGCAGTGCACTCGTTATGCGAGGCACCACTGTACTTCAATTAAGGGTTCAGTGCACTATTTCTGTGCCCTATTCTTCCTATAAGTATTATCAAAGCAATTGTTCTATGTATTCATTCCTGTTTTGGGGCTTCCATTACTGAAACCATAAGTGACCCCCTACATGCTTGACCTTTATATGTTTAATGTTCAGGGGCTGGGTATGTAATGTTTCTCTTACATATTCAAAAATCATTTTAAAAAACTGAATGGGAAGCAGCAGCATTGGGTCATTTTGATCCAGTCTAGCCTACTTAATGTGGGGGACGTGGTGGCGCTGTGGGCTAAATCGCAGAAGCCTGTGCTGCAGGGTCAGAAGACCAAGCAGTCGTAAGATCGAATCCACGCGACAGAGTGAGTGCCCGTCGCTTGTCCCAGCTCCCGCCAATCTAGCGGTTCGAAAGCATGTAAAAGCGAGTAGATAAATAGGGACCACCTCGGTGGGAAGGGAATAGCATTCCGTGTTTAAGTCGCACTGGCCATATGACCATGGAAGATATGTCTTCGGACAAAACGCTGTCTCTATGGCTTGGGAACGGGGATGAGCACCGCCCCCTAGAGTCGAACACGCCTGGACAAAAATTGTCAAGGGGAACCTTTACCTTTACCTTAGCCTACTTAATAAGTGATGTTACAATATGTATAACCATGAAACTAATAATGTGCCATCAAGTCAGTTCTGACTTTCGGACACCCTTTTCAGGGTCTTCCGGGTAGAGAATACTCAGGCGTGGTTTGCCATTCCACTTGTCTGGGAGTGCCCTGGGATTGTGCAGCTTGCCCATCACTACACAGCCTGGCTCTTCCCTAAGGAGGCACAATGGGAAATCAAACAGTCTCTGGCTCTGCAGTCAGATCCCTAAGCCACTAAGCTATCCAGATATTATTATTGTGAAACAAATACAGAGAAATCACAATTCAGTCCTCTACCACAAGTATTGTCTAAATGTATGTACAAAGTATATTCCAGCCCTCCTTTTTCAGACAAGGGTTTACCGTCTCCCAAATGCTGTGACATACACTCAAACTCTCTGGAGAAACTTTGGAAATGGGAATATTTTTCTATCTTTAACAGTTATATCTAGACATAGACACTCCATGTTCGTTTCCCTGGGGAAATGAATAGAAACCATGGCACCATAAACCACAAATACAAACCACAGCTCCATCATTGTTGTGTTAATTGTGGAAGCAGCCTGGGTGGCCCTTCCCCACCTCCACTCACAGCTGACTACTGCAGTGCAGAAGCAGGACAGGGAGGCTCCCCACTCATCCAATGAATGGTTGGCTGTGCAGGGAGGTGGGGAAGGGCCGGCTAGGTTGCTTCCGCAATTGGAGCGATGACAACGACAGAGCCAGGCACCATGTAGAGTAAGTAGCATGGGATTGGGCAGGATTCCCCAGGGAAAGGAATACTAAGTGCTCATGTCTAGTTATATCTCAGGTCTTCAAATGTGAATTTTTTTTTCCAGAGATACTTTTGAGATGTCTTTTAAAAGTGGGTTGAAATACTGTTTGTACATTCAGTACTTTTGGTAGAGCACTGAATTGTGATTTTCACTGTAAATTACCGTATTTTTCGCACCATAAGACCCACTTTTCCCCCACAAAACAGGGGGTGGAAAGTCTGTGCGTCTTATGGAGCGAAGAAAACAGATTATATTTTCCTGTTTTCTTCTCCTAAAAAATTGGTGCGTCTTATGGAAAGGTGCATCTTATGGAGCGAAAAATACGGTAAGTCAAACGCATGTTCTGGAGTAATTATACATGTTTAGAAACCTAATACATGAGAAGGCTGCATAAATGCTTTTATTCTTGGGTAGGAAGAATGTAGAGCAGGTGTGGCTGATCTCAGTGTGGCTGGGGCTCATTGTTTAGCCTGATTTGCATATCTGATTTTAAGGGGGGGTGGTAAATGCCATGTCAGTGATTTTTTAAAAAAACTGAGAAATGAGTTTAACTAAAAAAAATTTTTAACTGAAAAAGCCCCTTGTGGATCAAAATATTCATAGAAATCTTGGGGGCTACAGAGATCCTCAAATGCTGGGGGCTCTCAAAACATGTCAGAATTGCGTGCGCACACACGTATGCTGGAAAGAAGTCAGGAGGAGACCTGAAAGGGGGGAAGCGTTGCAAAAGGGGAGGGGAAAATATATAGGCATTTGGTGGCCCTGGGGTTCATGGGGGGATAACACCCCCCCTCACACTGTGGAGTGCAGTAAAGTAAACTTGAAGAGTGGTGAGCTCAGCAAAACAAGGAGCAAACCTGGAATAAAATTGGTTTAAGAAGATACATAATCTCTTATAGTATTTGTAAAAGGATTTCTCACTTACCAAACAAATAACATAGATAAACTACGTAGACATAGTATAATTAAATAAAAAATAGTACTAGTACAGCAAAAACACGTGAGATCAGTAAAATGCAATGCAATATAAATAAGCATGTTTTCCCACTTCCCACAGTAGTAATCCAGGACATTCCGTGTTTCTTATTTTGCAGCCATGCCACTCTTTTTTAACATACGTATTTGCAGCCTCATCCAGTGACAAGCATAACAACAAATTATTGCGAAATATGCGGTTCCCCCATGTACAAAATATTAGAAACTAGTTACCCTAGTGACTGAGATAAATGTAATTGCCTGAGCTTTGTTCACCTTGGAATTACATGTGTGAGGGGACAGTTATATAACTGGATAAAGTCAAATGTGAACAAAACCAACAAGGGGAAAAAAAAGGCAAGGTTCAGAAGGCTCAAGGAGAAGCGGACTAAAATGGAACTGCTTAAATTTTTTTAAAAAATGGATTAAACACTGTGTAATGTGTCAGTGATTATTTTTCTGTACATCGTTATATTTTCAAACAAAATGCACAACAAAAATGTATGCTACTAGTATGCAGCACGGAGAAAGAACACCTTTAATATTTTCTGCTACTGCTTGCTTCCTAGCCCAGAGAGTTTGTGACAATAGTGAAGGGGACCCACTTCCCCAATTTTGGA